TGACTGATTCTGGTTTATTCAAGTTGTTTTCCTTCCACAGGAAGAGCAGCTTAAAAAAAAGAGAGAATTGAATAGGTCCTTACGGCCAACTTAACTAAATTGTGTCCTGCATTAATATAATGAGCTCAATTCAACATAATGCAATGAGAAAGAAATGGACAACAGGGTTCCCAATAAAAAGACACAATCAGCTCTTAGACACAAGGGGGGAAAGCAAAGTAAGGAATCTCAATAAAAAATAATTCCTTCCTATTTCTCTACAGAGCTGACTCTGGGATCTTGTATAATGCGTGGAAAATACCTTATGAATATTTTGATATTGAATAAAGAGGAAAATCAGGAGGATGAAAAAAGTCAGCAGAAAAATTTAGTGGCATGTGTATAATATTTTTAATTTTTCGATGAAATTTTCTTCATGCCAATCACTAGCCGTGAAAAGTTGTCTACCTCAATCAGTGTATTAGTATAAGGAGATCAACTGTGCTTTAACCCTACAAAAAGAATAGCATGAAATAAGTTGATGTTACACAATCAGCAGTTTATTCTGTTCTACTTTTCTCTCCAATCAGTGCCAAAGCCATTGTTCTCACATTGATTACTATGAGTTCTTACCCAGTTTTTCAGCAAGGAGGATTGTTGATTCATAAGTGGATAGTAAATGAAAGCCAATTCGTTCTTTAGATTGCTGAATTTTGTCTTTTAATAAAGTATATTTCCACCCTGAGGTCTTATGACATACTAAGCTGTCCTTCTCCCATACCTCAGGATTTTTAATGCAATTATCTCATCACATATTCTCATTTGTTCGTTATCTTCCCCAACTTTACAGGAGTACTAGAAAGACATACATTCTCTTTGAGCTCAGTATATAGCATGTTTAATATTGTACCTTGTTGTGATGGCAGAGGGAGGGAGACAATCACTGATTAATACACAATTTACTCAAAATCAAAACACTCTCTATGTACAGGAAACACAAATCCTTCAGGGCTCCATCACCTAACATCGTCGTATCCAGGGAAGGCTAGCTGAGACTTTTTGTGTTCAACTTTGTTAATTAGTTGAGTCAGGCGCTTGAGTTCCTGGTGTTTTGCCTCTGTCTTCTAGAAAATAACAGTAATCATGAATGAAAACAATTCAAAATCTATAAAGGTACCAATAAACAGTGATGTGGACTAAAATGCCTAGTCTACAAATAAAAGCTTGACGTGTATGTTTGTGTTTTGTCTTTAAGGGAATTCATCTTTTATTTCATTAAAAAAAAGCCGCATCTTGCCTATTATAACTGTGTGTAGTAAGACTTAAATTTCATTACAACTAAAGAGCATATATTTACAAGCAATCCTAGGCTGTTTTCTCATAATTCTCTAAGTATTCCAGAATTCCCTGAAAAGCCATCTTGAAGTGAAAGACCCCAATAGGGATACTTTCACGGAAAGGAGACCCGAACCCAAGGAACAATGAGACCACGAGCTTGGATGCAACAGCAAGAGGCTTTATTGATAATACACGGGTACCCGGGGCGTCTCAGTCTCGGGAACTGAGAGCCCCGAGCTGGGGACTCAGGGGTTCTTTTATAGTAAAAAGCGCAGTACAGAAGCGAGAAGCCTAGTAACAGGACCCTGATTGGGCAATTTAAATGAGGCTAGGGCTCAGAACGAGGGCAATTGAGGTTTTGAGGTTTTTCTTGGAACTCAAGTCTCGGCCTTGGCCCTATCTGAGGAACAATAGGTCTCTGTGCTTGCCCAATCTTGCTGAGCTGGCCATCTGGTCAGAGCTCCCTTCTGATAGCAATGACTATTCAGCTGTGGGGACCTTGAACTGAGCTCCCCTCTGATAGCAATGACTATTCAGCTGTGGGGACCTTGAACTGAGCTCCCCTCTGATAGCAATGACTATTCAGCTGTGGGGAAACGGAATTTTCCATAAGCCTCAGCTGCCTGTTTAGACTGGGCCAGGGTCTTTCAGAAGGAGGACTTCTGAATTCTGGATGTGTGCCTGTAGATCATGACACATCAACCTAGTTCATAGCAAGCAGATCTTGGAGAGGTGGACACCATACTTCTCCGCCCTTTCCAAATCCTTGAGCAAAGCCTCTCACTGCTTTCCTCTCCCACTGACTGACTCCAAAGAGAAAAAAATGTCCCTATAATTTTTCCTAACTTCTCTTACTGAACTGAAAGTCCTTGAAGATTTATACTATGATATTTATATTTTTATGTAGGTCAAAAAGATTGTTTTGTAGAGTAGAAATGCAAACTTTTCTCAATGTTGGACATTTCAATGGTTATATCTAAAGATCTGTATAATACGGCATGTTCATTTATTGACATGAAGGTTCAGACAACAGGATCTTAAAGTGGATATTACTTCTTAATATCTCTAAAATAGTTATTCTGTGAAAATTCAAGCTTAGATATGTTACCTTTCAACTTCCATCTAACTATATTCTGCTCTATTATTACTAATGTGATTCTTGCATGGAGTTTTTTTTCCCATTAGAAAACTGAGCCGACTTTAAACGTTCATACCATAGCTATCTTCTATAAACCTGAGAAATGGAAATCACTGGTTACTAACTTTGAACGTGAGACCAGATATGGAGCAGAATCCTTCCTTTGAGAACAACACTGACAATAATCAATATTCCTAACTTTAGTTTTATGGAGAATCTAAAAAAATATCAACTTGATAATTTTGGAAAGAAAGATTATACTAAGTAGAAGGTGAGGGCAAAAAAAAGATCAACAAACTAATTCTCTTATTTCAGAAAAACATATCCAATGGCAAATATATTTGGATAAGCACAGAAAGTATTCCTTTCCTTTCTCAGTAATGAGATAAGTATCCATGATGAGTGTTATTCTTCTCTAATCTGTAAGATATTCAAGCTATGCTAACATGAATTTCCCCTGGAGAAGACATTAAGTCATCAGCCAAAGTACAGCTAAGCAGCTGGAACAGACACAAAGCAAATTGTTTAAGCCTTTCACCTTCTGCCATCAGGATAACAATGGAAAATTGTTAACCAGTATCCCATTACAGAGCCAAGAAATGAGATGATGGGAGAGTCGAATTGAAAGCCATAAACTGCTGTTTCCATTTGAACACTATCTTGTTTACCTCTAGATAAAAGTATAATTTAGTCTGTTAGCACTGAATGTCCAAGTAGCCTAATCTCAAGAAATGGATGCTCTCACAGTCTATCTGCAAGTCATCACCATACATGTCACATTTATTCCTTATAAAGGAGACCCTGATAATGTATTTACATCTTTTACCTTATTCCGGCATTTATATTATACATGAAGGACTTGTATGTAAGGCCAGTTTATGCAATACCAGCACATCCAGAACACAAAAGATGAAAAATAATGAGTAGCAAAGTACACTTGTGAGATCATATATTATATATTATATTACTGAGTTTTCCAGCAACATGAAAGATTTGGAGTCTTTAGTCAGAGAGTCCCCTTGTCTACAACTGAAAGTGCATGACAAAAAAAACTAACAGAATTCCAAAATTAAGGTGTTTCAAATATCAGCTGAGAGTAACAATCAGTCCCTGAAGCTGACCACTCCTAAATCACTACACAAAGTGATTATTTCAGAAGAGAAATTCAATTCCTTAGACAATCCATCTGTCAGTTTGCTATACTTAAATCCTATTAATTCAGTTAACCTGAGAGGATGTCTCAAAGAACTATTAGACTTTTTAAAGGTAGCATATTGGGGGCTGGAAAGAAAGCTCTGCAGTTAAGAGCACTCGCTGCCCTTGCAGAGGTCCAGGGTTCACTTTCTAGGACCCAGGATTGTCCAGAGCCACCCATAATTGCAAGTCCAGGGTTTCTGGTGCCTTCTTTTGGCCTCTGTGGGCTCCAGACACACATGTAACACACATGCATGTACGCAGGCAAAGCATTCATACACAAAATAAGATAAATGAATCTTAAAAATAAAGCCAATGCATTTTGATTATTTCAGCAACATAATTCATCCGTATATTCTGTAGAATTAACAGGAGTGTAGAAGTATTATCAAAAAGATAATTCTGTGTCAAATAAAACCTTGAATCAAAATTTCCTGATGAAAATTAAAAACTAGGAGACCTTACTTCTGCACAATAACTCTTCACCCTGAGAGAGGAAGCGAGGGAAGTGACCCGGAATGGAAAATGATGAGAGAGAAGCGCTTTCATCCAGCCAGCAAGCCCTTATGTGAGGAGCCCTGCTGTTCTGTTGCTCACAGAAAAAAAAGTAAAGTAAAAGAAAGTAAAGCTTAGTGCAGTCCTGTGCTTAAGGCATTTCTAACCCAAGGATGTGATGGAGGACTCCACTTAAGAGTTCCCAGTACTTTCTAAAGCCGTTTTCTGAATGAGTGAAACAACTTTAAAGGCATCTTTCTTGCTTCCAACAAGGGGGGAAAGTTTGTTCCTCGCAGCCGAGTTTCTCTACTGCTACGCTGGGGGAGAAAACTACACTAGAGGAAGTAAGCATGCTGGCACAAATCATACTTGGAGTCGCCGTGTCTCAGTTTCCACATCTAGATTCAAGGATGCTGAGTGAAATTACACCTAGATTTAAATGCTTCTCCAAATGCACCCTTAAGGAAAGCAACTAATTCTACAATAGGATACCAGAGACTGAAAATGTGATCAAGTGTATATGTAATCACATCAATTATAGAACTCAGAGCAAAGGTTTTTAATTCATTTTTTCTAATGGAAAATATCCATTAGTGAATCCAGAAATCAGCATAATGGATTTCAACCATCATTTACCAGAATAACTTGAACAAAGCATAAAATTTGGAACTGCATTATGGGAAGGAAGGACAAATACTCTCATAACTCAGAAATTTATACACATGAATTCATGTGTATATTGCTTGGTGATAGAACAAATTATACTTTTATTCTCTAGCATACCAACAGTTCTTTAAAAATCACTTATTTACAGTGTATCTACTTGAGCTAGATGAGAAAATCAGTTTTCACTTACCAATCGTGGGGTCATGATAATCTGGGAACTGGTGGCTTATAAACTGCATTGTCACTGCTGACGGAAAAAAAACATAGTCAGCCCTTACCTATGAATTGTTCATCAACATAGCTCTATATTTTAATATTTTCTGGTAAGTAGCTCTCTTTTATGAGTGACTACATAAATTAAATGGCATTAGCTAACACATGATAATGATAGTAACAACACATAGTTATGAAAAACAAAAAAGTCTATACTGTGTATTTGTAGTAAATATTTCGAAGTTTAAGTGTATTTCAATCCCTGGGGCTTCACAGTTAGCTCTAGTTAGTTGATGGTTTTCAAGAAGTTTCTGGGATCTTTTTGGCTCTGAGTTTCATGATACCGGATGAATCTATGTCTCTGTCACCAGCTGAGTGGTCAGAATCTGGCATCTAACTGAACAACTAATAATAAGTTGGGCAGTCTGTCATCTCAACTTGGAAGATGCTGTACATGCAAAACTGAAATAAAATACCCTCACCCTGTATCAGCAGAATAAAGGAATGCACATCTATTTGCCAAACATATGTCTTAGGACAAATCCATTTAGCTTCTTTAGGCTACAATGTTGAGAATATCTTTAGATCCTTTCCCTCTTACATCCTCCATACAAATACCCAGTTTCCATGAAACACCTTTCCAATGTGTCTAGCCCTAGCTCAGAGTCTTATCCTATAAACTGCTTTCCTTCTGTAAATTCTTACTTACAATGTAAGTAAGTAAGTCACAATGGTACCATAACAGTCATCCAGAGGCCTGTCACTGACAACTCACGTAAAGACCATGGTCTTGAAAATAGTCTCAGACTGTAGGATTTTTCATGGTCATCCTATCTCTCAAGCCAAGTGTGTGTCTTGTGCTCAAACCTCCTGAGACACGCCCCTTGAACAAGCCTTCGCCACATGGTCTAGAATAGTGCCAGTGTTAACCGATCCAACTCTCTGACCAACACTGGACCAGGCTTATCTTAAGCCTCTTCTCATCTGAACCTCAGCTTTTGAACTTCTGTGTTGTATTTCTTCGGTAATTCAGTTCTGACAAGAATTGTGTTGATCCTGCTTGGAGAGATGCCCACCGTTTACATCTGATGATCATTTGAATATGAAATGTTCTTTCAGGGCCATGGGACAAATTTTCTATCCCCAGCTGGTGCCACTGGCTTGGGAGGCTGTGAAAACGTTGTTAGGGGGAACCTAGCTTGCGGAAAGGAACCGCTGGAAGTGTGGTATTTGTCTCCAGGCCTTTCCCAGCCTATGCCTCCTGTCCATCGGGTGAAGAATGGCCTCCACCAGAAAGCTGTCACCACAGTGTTTTCCCCAGCGCCATGGGGCCATGCAAACATAGGATACACAATCTGAAACCAGAGCAGAGGAAGTATTTCCTCCTTGAAGCTGTTCTCTCTGGTATTAGCTACAGCTATGCAAAAATACCTAATATAAAATCTCAGTAGCGTCTTCAATCTACGCAGCAGGAGAGCTGATCCCCTTGCCTTCTCCCAGCAGAAATCCCCTGAATCTGCTTTGGCTGTGTCCATCCCAGCCCTCCACAGTGTTCCATCCACTGCCTCCATCCTGGCCACGGAACTTTAAGTCTCTTTAATTTAACTCTCTGCAGCTCTTTCTGTATTCTGTGTCTCAGTTCCACACCTTTATGTTTTTCTTCTATTGTAATAGAACCTTAACAAGATAGGGTTTTGCTGGTGTACCTGCTTTCCAGTTCTGTAAAAGTACTAGTGAGGCTCAACATGTCATCTCAAATATCACACTATTTGAGCAATATATTTAACCTTTTATATCTAAAATCTGTCAGTATGTGGTATGCATAAAAGCTTCCTGAACTATCAGAAAACATTTACATAATCATGTTAATTAACTACCATATATTTGGGAAGAGTGTAGAGGCTAAAAAGTCAGAACACATCTAAATGAAAAACACATCATCACTTTAAAAACTGATTGGTATACTTAAACATTAAACTTGAGAATCATAGGGTTAATATCAAAAATAATCTGTCGGAATCAACTGCTGCAGCTGTTTATAAGAACATAGAGCATATGTTTAGATGCTTGGGTGCTGGCTTTAATGGAAGCCTGCTGTTTATTGGATAATTAAAAATAACTCTTCAATTATCAAATGCTCTGGCCTGCCACCTAGACAGAACCAAAGAAATTGGAATCAGTTTTTATTGGTTCCAAAACTTCAAAAACATAATTTTATCAGACTGATGTGTAAAAGTTTCTTTAATGTTTTTGAAATGGACATCTAAGGAACTTTTAATAGCCATTTTCTATTTAGGGCAATAATAAGCAAAAAAATCATGAAAAAGAATCCCTAAATATTTATGTTGTAATATATTTGTGTGTGTGTGTGTGCGCGCGCGCGTGTGTGTGTGTGTGTGTGTGTGTGTGTGTGTGTGTGTGTGTGTGTTATATTTACATACAAATGGTGCTTTTCAAACTAGTAATTAAGAGAAACTCTGGGCTTCCTGAGAAAGGAAGGCACAGTTCTGAAACACTACCCTTTTCTGAAATAAGAAAGGTACATTGATGAATGAAATTTTCATTTATGACATAAGTAGACAGTAGATGTGTACAGTTTCTATCTAATATTCCCTATTTACCCAGGGATGATTTGCTCTTTAACAAGAAGTGATTGGAAGTTCATTCATGGCCCTGGCAGAGATTTTTCTGCCTAGGCAGACAGCCTCCCTCCACACTTTGACTCTTCTTTCTGTCTACTTATCCATATAAGCAGTGTTGATATTACAGGGATCTGCAGGACACAGTAGGAACAGTTACACTGAAAAAATCCCAGCATAATTTAGGAATCAGCCTTTTAATCAGAACCCAGGACATTTACGAACAATGCAACTTGAGAGCAGCTAAAATCTCAATTCAAACTTGGGTTTTAGGAGTTAGGTTTTCAAGCATTTGCCTTACCATTTATGTTTGTGAGGAGGAATAGATCCTTTGGAGAGCAATGCTTAGTTATTTTAATCCTGTGCATGAACAAGTTCAATGCAGCAAAGTAAGAAACTTGATCACTTGTGTTCAGTCATAAGACAACGAATAAAGCCGCGAGTTTGGTAGCTCACAACCTTAATCCCAGCACTCGGGAGGCAGAAGCAGGCGAATTTCTGTAAATTCGAGGCCAGCCTGGTCTACAGAGTGAATTCCGGGACAGACAAGGTTACACTGAGAAACCCTGTCTTGAAACCATCCCCCTCCAAAAAAAGGAAATAGAGAAAATATTGAAGCATGAAAACTTAATGTGGCATGTAAATTTATAAACATTTACCCCAGAGCTTACCACACGTGTATCTTTACTTTTCCTTAAAATACCAAAAAACACTTCTAAAAGAGAAATCCAACATTGAGGCCAGGACAACCCCTCATACATTTTAGAAAGTGACTAAGTCAGAACACTCTCAGTATGAACCAGATCTTGCCTCAACAATAAGCACTTAATTTTACAGCACTTACTTATTTGAAATAGTTAAAATTTCCACAATACACTTAAACTGAATAATAGATGACTTTGTCACCTTCAAACATTTACTTGTGGTTAGTCATTGCCAGTCTACATCTTATGATCCGCGTCAGTCTCTTCACTATCAAGCATGGTAGAAGCCATGGATATTACCCGGGATCAGAATGCCAAGGAAAGGACAGAATTTCATAGAATTTCTGACAGTCTTGGCCAAAACCCTGCATGCAGACAGTGGAAACTGTGGCGCTGGAACATCCAACCTGTGTATCAAAATCCAGCTATGATATGGCTATTCTGTGCACGATGTACACTTGGGACGCATTAACAGATGGGTGTGGACGCCTCTTTCCTCATTCTTTTTAGTATGATATTTAATTTCCTTCCCAGCCACACCTATGCAATGACCTAGCCTTCTGTGTGCATATCTCCCTCTCAGAAGCAGAGGATCGTTTCACCGCTCACCACCCAGCACCTCTGACCACTGTGAATATGAACTTCCAGGCTGGGTTTCGGTATTTGTCAGTTAGGAGTGAAAATTTCTTCTTTTTTATGTGTTTGAGTTAAAAACATGAATGCTTCAAATGTCAATCCCAGCTCTCTCTCCCACCCCTCCTCCCTTGTCCCTTCACCAGCCTCCCCCGACCCAGGACATTCCCAACATCATTCCCCAGGGAGGGTAAGGATCAAGGTGGATGAGTTTTCTGATGTGTTCTTGGATCCAATTTGCCAGTATTTTATTGAGTATTTTTCGCATCAACTTTAATGAGTGAAATTGGTCTGAAATTCTCTTTTTTAGTTGTGTCTTTGTGTGGCTTGGGTATCAATGTTATTGAAGCTTCGTAAAAAGAGTTTGGCAAAGACCCTTCTGCTTCTGTTACATGGAATATTTTCAGGAGAATTGGTATAAGCTGTTCTTTGAATTTCTGGTAAAATTCTGCACTGAAGCCATCTGGCCCTGGGCCTTTTTTGGTTGGGAGACTTTTAATGACTGCTTCTATTTCCTTAGAGGTTATGGATCTACTTAAATTGCTTATCTGTTCTTGATTTAATTTTGGAAGGTGATAGCTATCCAAAAAGTTGTTCATTTCCTTTAAATTTTCGAATTTTGTGGAGTACAAGTTTTCAAAGTATGAACAGATGATTCTCTGGATTTCCTCAGTGTCCATTGTGATGTCCCCATTTTCATTTCTGATTTTGTTAACGCGCATGTTCACATTCTGCTGTTTGGTGAGTTTGGATAAAGGTTTGTCTATCTTGTTGATTTTCTCAAAGAACCAACTCTTTGTTACATTGATTCTTTGTATTGTTTTCCTAGTTTCTGCTTTATTGATTTCAGCCCTCAATTTGATTATTTCCTGGCATCTACTCCTGTTGGGTGAGTTTGCTTCTTTGTGTTCTAGAGCTTTCAGTTGTGTTGTTAGTTCTCTAGTGTAACTTTTCTCCAGTTTATTCATGTGGGCAGTTAGTGCTATGAACTTTACTGTTTGCTTTCAAAGTGTCCCATAAGTTTGGGTATGTTGTGTCATCGTTCTCATTGAATTCTA